GATAGATAGATAGATAGATACAGATGGATGGAAGGATGAATGGATGGATGGATGGACGGATGGACGGACAGAAAGACAGACAGACATAAATAGCTTTTGAAGACAAATAATGTTACGCAGTTCATTTGTGGACACAAAAGTGGCTCTGCACCGAATCTAGCCAATGTGGGGCACTTGAAGACCATTGTAGTAACGGTGGGGGTTATTCTATGATGCCACTCACAGTTTTCTATCAGTTTAGGTAGCCCCTGACCTCAAAGTGTGTGGAAGCTTCATAGCGTACAACTTGCCAGCGGGTTCTCATTCCCTTGGCTGGATATCTCAGTAGCAAAGGGTTTCTTTCACACGTCTTCCGAGCGCTCGTTGTGCTCCACCTGAAGGTCACTTCCCTAGACTCCAGAACACTGTAGAGCAGGAGAGTCAAACTCAATTTCATCGAGGGCTGCATCGGGGCTGTGGTTGACCTCGGGGGCAGTGGTGGGATTCAATTTTTTTTTACTCTAGAACTGGTCAGAACCTGCTGAATACCATCTCTGCTCGGGGGCCCGGCCAGGTGTAGCCGACTGAGTGTATGTGGCCAATGGGGTGGGCATGGCCAGCTTGATGCCACTCACTGGGTATGGCCAACTGGGTGGGCATGGTCAGCTTGATGCCACTCTCCAAACTGTTTCCTCTTCTCGACCGGGCCGAAGTGATGCGGACTGGCCCCTTACATTTTTCAGGATGGCCTCATGGACCAGATCTGATCACATTGTGGGCCGAATTTGGCCCACGGGCCTTGTATTTGATGCCCCTGCTGTAGAGCAACTGGCAAGGCATATGGTGGTCATCCGTTCTGATGACATGTCCCACCCATTTTATCTGGGGTCTGATAATCAGGGACTCAATGCTGCTTCTCTGGCCTTTTGGGGATGGAGTGTCATGCCAGACCTGTAACTCAATGTTCTTTCTTTCTGTAGCCCCCAGTACCTGCTGGATAAGAATTCCTGGATAGAAGAGCTACCGGATCTTCGGCGTTGTAAAGCCACCCAGTATCGCAACACTTGCAGTCACCTTGAGTCTTTCACCACCTCCTTTGTCATAAATGGCTGCCGCATCTGAGCCAAATAACCCCCTTGGGCCTTTGACTAACCTGATGCACCAGGAACTGCAGCTTTTTTATGGAATACCCCCTGGCTGAAAACCTCCTCTTGAACACTGTGTTGTGATGTCACTTAACACTTTGTGATTAGAGGATCTGAAGACACAAGAAGAGTCTATCAGCATCAAACCAGAATAATAGAATTGGGAGGGACCTTGGAGGTCTTCTAGTCCAACCCCCTGCTCAAGCAGGAGATCCTGTAGCATTTCACACCAATGGCTGTCCAGTCTTTTCTTTAAAACCTCCAGTGATGGAGCACCCACAATTTCTGGAGGCAAGTTTTTCCACTGTTTAATTGTTCCAATTGTCAGGAAATGTCTCCTTATTTCTAGGTTGGTTCATTCCTTGGTTATGCCTTCAGTTGCTTTGAAGAGTAGGGTGAATGCCATCTTCGTTATGGCGGCCTCTTAGATATTGGAAGACTGCTATCATGCCACCCCTAGTCTTTCTTTTCATCAGACTAGACATTTCCAATTCCTGCAACCGTTCTTCATATCTTTTAACCTCCGGGCCCCCCTAATTATCTCTCTTCTCCGCATTGTCTCTGCATCTTTTTTTAAAATATTGTAGCAACCAAAACTGGATGTAATATTTCACGTGTGCCTTACCAAGACAATCAATTTTTGTTCTGATGTGGGTCAATTTCAGTGTTATTTTTTTTCCTAGCCAAAGCCCTCCACTGAATTGATTATTTATAATCCAAAGTGCTTTCCATCCGAGAATGAATTCTTTTCTGAACTCACTTTTTCTTGGCGGAAAAAATTAACCAAAGAAAACGAGGATATGTCATTGCTAAAAATAAGGAGCCCTCCCTCCCCCTTTCCACTCTCCTAATTTTGGGTTTCCCGGGGATTTATCACTATGTGTTCAACTTTCTGTTTGGCTGGACAGACCTCTCGATTCCGCATTCTCTCACATTCAAAAGACTTTTTGTTGGTTTCTGGAGAAGCTGAATTTTGATAAGTCCTAATAAAAAAATACTGTACAAAAATTCTCAGGGTTTGCAAGTTCACAAACAAAAGTTTTCAGTCATCTCCCGAGGCAGCAACTGTCTCGGTGCTGTGTAACACCACTAACCCCCATCCAAAACTCAGCTACCTTTTCAAGTAATCTGCTTAGCCATGCTGGTTAGGATTTAGGAATTCATAATCCAATGTATCTAGACTACGTTTGACCAAATAGGTGAGTCTTACAATGAGTTAGCACTGTTTTGCACTACTTTTTCATGCAATAAAATAGTTTACTTTCATTTTGTTTCCTCTTGCCATTTGTTAATTCTTGATTCTGCAAGGATTCTGCCACTCCACTCTGATACTCCTGTAGTGGCAGCTTTCTTGTATCCCAAGAAGTGGTGGGATTCAAAGTTTTTTTACTACTGGTTTCTGTGGGCATGTCATGGCTGGGTGCGTGTGGCTTGGTGGTTGTGGCAGGGGAAGGATACTGTAAAATCTCCATTTCCACCCAACTTCTGGAGGAAGGATATTGTAACCTCCCCATTTCCACCCAATTTCCTGGGGAAAGGATACTGTAACCTCCCCATTTCCACCCAACTCCTGGAGGAAGGATACTGTAAAATCCCCATTCCCCCCTCACCCCACTAACCTGCTTTCCAGCTCCGTTCTCCTGTGCAGGGCAACAGAAGACGACCCAGCCGATCAGGTGGGACGCCAATCAGCTGGGACTCAGGAGACAGAGAATAGATGGGGGCGGGGCCAGCCAGAGGTGGTATTTGCCGGTTCTCCAGACTACTCAAAATTTCTGGCTGAATTTCTGGCTGTTCCCAAGACTGAAAAGGTAGAGATGGAAGGGAAATTTTATCCAAGACTGTCTCCAGATTTGTATTTCCTGAATCATCTATAAGTTAGCCCTACAAACGTCCTCGTCGTTTAGTCCAACCCCTTGCTCAAGCAAGATAATGTTAAGCCAGATAAATGTTAAGTTAATGAGTTCTTCCCCACTTTACCACCTTTCTTGCCCCGTTGCTAAGTGAATCACTGTGTTGCTAAGTTAGTAACCCGGTTGTTAAGTAAATCTGGCTTCCCCATTGACTTTGCTTGTCAGGAGGTCGCAAAACGGAAATTGCGTGACCCAAGGGCACTGCAACTGTCATGAATACCAGCCAGTTGCCAAATGTCTGAATTTTGATCATGTGACCACGAGGATGCTGTAACAGTCATAAGAGTGAAAAATATGCATTAGCCCATTTTTTCAGTGCTGTTGTAACTTTGAACGGTCGTTAAGCAAACTGTTGTATGTCGAGGACTACCTGTACTAGTATCACAATTCCTGTTGTTGTCTATTTATCCCACCTAGAAGGCCACCATTGGGAGAAGCTCCCGTATTTTTTGGAGTATAAGATGCACCTCCCCCCCCCCAAAAAGAGGGTGAAAATCTGGGTGCGTCTTATACAATGAATACAGCATTTTTGGTCTCCCAAAACCCCTCCCCCCCTTCACCAAAATGGCCATGCAGAGCCTTTAGGAGGCTTTCAGAGTTCTCTTGGGTGCTGGGGAGGGCAGAAATGAGCAAAAAATGGGTCGGTTTTTGCTTGTCCCCCCCCCCAGCCCACAGGAGCCCTCTACAAGCCTCCTAAAGGCTATGCATGCTCTCTTTTTAGCAGAAAACGGGACCATTTTCACGAAAAATGGGCCATTGTTTTGCTCTTCTCCCCCCTCCAGCCCCCAGGAGCACTTTGCCTCTCAAACTCTCGGCATGCCCCGCTTTTTCACCAAAAATGAGGCATGCAGAGGGTTTAGGAGATCTGCAGGGTTGAAAAACGTTTTTTTTTAAATTTACCTCTTCAGAATCCTGGTGCGTCTTATACTCCGGTGCGTCTTATATCTTGAAAAAGTACGAATCTGCAGGTCAGCTAGAATGTCCCTTTGAGCTAAAATCAACATTCTCACTTGGTGGTGGTGATGTCCACAAGAGACTTGGAAATATCTCCAGCCACCAATTCCAAAGTCGTGGGACGAACCAAGTTGATGTTCCAACCCGAGAGGGTGGGTTTGGGGAACGGGAGAGGGTCTCGGGGAAACCAGCTTTACAAACCATATTTAGGCCCACAAACCAGAATCAGTCCGACTCCGCCCTAGAACGTTGCTTGCCAAGAAAAACAACTTCATATTTGGGAAAGGGGGAAAAACACAGGTCTGGAAAGATATGATCCTTCATGGTTCATATAGGAGTTGTTGTTGTTTTTTACACAGTTTAACATTCCTGCAAAAAGAAACGAAATCGAGGCATAAAATTCACTGTGGTTGGGACAGCGTCCTCTGCGCTCTTTGTGGCTGGCAAAATAAACATGAAGTACAGCTATACCATAAGCACTATTGCACTAAACAATTTAAACAAAATATTAGTTTAAAAAATACAAATGAGAAAAAAATGTGTGTCTAAGCATGTACCTGTGCTTTTTAACATGAATATATTATCACTCTCATTGATGTCTTCATAAAGATAGAATAGAATAACAGAGTTGGAAGGGACCTTGTAGGTCTTCTAGTCCAACACCCTGCTTAGGCAGGATCTGTACCATTTCAGACAAATGGTTATCCAATCTCTTCTTAAAAACTTACAGTGTTGTAGCATTCATAACTGCTGGAGGCAAGTTGTTCCACTGATTAATTGTTCTAACTGTCAGAAAATTTCTCCTTTAGTTCTAAGTTGCTTCTCTCCTTGATTAGTTTCCACCCATTGCTTCTTGTCCTACCCTCAGGTGCTTTGGAGAATAGCTTGACTTCCTCTTCTTTCTGGCAACCCCTGAGATATTGGAAGATTGCTATCATGTCTCCCCTAGTCCTTCTTTTCATTAAACTAGACATACCCAGTTCCTGCAACTGTTCTTCATGGGTTTTAGC